GTGGAAAGGTTTTCATTTGTTGTCTCAGCCAGGGGGTGCCAGTGTTATCTGGGTCCAGAATTAGGACAGCTAGATTAAAAGCAGAGAGGAAAAGGAAAGATATACCAGTGCTCAAAAAAGACTGGCATTGTATGATCTTCTTTTGAACGCTATCCTAAACTGAATCCATGAAGCATTTCCCCCTTGGGATTCTCCCTCTGAGAGGTACAGTCACGGAAATAGAAGAGTGCATTTTACCCAAACACATACAGGAGATTTACCCGCCCTTGCATTTAACTGCTGGGGTCTGTTTTCTGTTTTTTGTTTTTTAGTGATCTGTGGGGTCTATTACCATCTCCTTGTCGTCGTGTGGCACTGCTAATTCTAGTTTAGCAAAGGGAAACTAGACAGGAGAGTGTGAATGAATCCCAACCACCATGAACTTGCGCACAAGGCAGACACATCCTGCTGATGGTAGCTTGTTAGCTGGTGTGACTTCATATTCTAGGCACAAGATGATGATTTTTGATGATGAGCTTTGGTTCACTTGTTTAACTTGATTAGCAGTGTTCCATTCCATTCCAAGATAAAAAACAAACGTAAGACTTGTGTTCTTTCTGTATGTTTCTTTGATGCAACTATTCTAGGGCCTAGAGAGGAATGACACTGTTTTCCCACCTGATGATTTTTTGTAGGTCATAGTTGTCAAACAAATTCTCAGAGGTTGTCACAGCTCATAGACCCAGAGAAATATTTCTTCAGTGTGACAGTTAATGTAGTCAGCCTTTTGAATTTTTGTCTTTAGATGCTGTGTGCTCTTAGGAGTTCAGATTATCACCTATACCATGGCTTCTTTTTTCACTGTTCTTCCTACTAGTGTTATAGACCTGATCTTACACTTTTACCATTTGATTTCTCTGTGTTGGTGTGAAGTGAACACAGAGCTAACATTCACTCTGTGCTTTCTTCCCTTTGGAATTGTTTGAACTGGCAGAGCTCCTGAGTCAGCAGTGCCTTTGGGTAATGCCAAGATACAGACTGCACTTTTTAAGTGCTGGATCTACATCCAAAGTTAATCAGTTAAAATTTTTTGGAAAACACTTACTTATGGACCATTTGAAAAGTGCTTATGTTTGCTTTGAAATTTCTGAAACTAAATCTGGCATTTGTAATCCATGGTGTGGCCATTAGAATACAAAGTTGACCTATTCTTGTGGCGAATAAGATCCAGAAATGAAAAGAAACACCCCCTTATTTGCTGTTGGTCAAAGTAAGAAGTAGTATTTAGTATAACATTGCCATTCTTAGTCACATGAACTCTTAATGCTTTCTTGACAAATTTGTTTAGAGAAAATATCCTTAAAATATGGACAACTGCTTTATATGTAGGGTAAGGATCTTAAGACAACACGTGACTATTGCACTGAATCAACCCTATTAATTAGTCTGTAGATTTACTCAAGGAAAAGGACACAGCTTTGTGGCAAGGTGCCAAATACATGCCAGTTTGAATAAAATACACACTTTTCTGTTACTTTTCCCCTTTCCCATTGTTTGAGCATCAAAAAGTCCTGCTTTTGGTTGGGATGGGGGAGAGGAATCTGACAACAGTTGGGGGGCTTGTGTAGAGTGGTTTTGTTTCTGGATATGTATTTTATAGAGAATCAAATAAGATACATGTATGCACATATACTATGAAAAGGCAGATGAAGGGTGCACTCTTGGCTCCAAGTTTAACTCTCCTGGTTTAATTAAGAAAATGACGACATGCATAGTGATTATACTAACATGTTTTAGAGCATGTACTACTTTCCGTAAGAGATTTCTCTGATAATGCATTTCTCTTTCTATTACCAAACATGATTAATGTGCCACATAGTGTTAACTGTGCTTTTTCCCCCAAAGACATCAAATGGGAGGCAGCATGTAGAAGCTAAATTATTCGGAGAGGAGTCGGTGATTGATTTAAATATAAAAGGATTAATTGGTCCCTGAACCAGACTATTAAACTGTACTGTGATCTTGACTGAAAGTGGAAGAATTACAAGTGCATTGTGTAGAATAAATTAATACATTTTTCATGGCTTTAATCCTTTTTTCTGTGTTGCTTATTGTGGCTTTATATACTGCACTCTATTGTTTGCTAAATTGATGCAGAGGGGATTCAGTGTATAAAGTTGAAATGGGATAGAGGGATGGAATCATCCTTCGAGTTTTAAGGTGGTAGTTCTTCCAGGATAGCTTAAAATATTTCCAGAGAAAGAATATTTCTAAGAACTCCTACCAGTAATGACTCCAGGCACAAAAGTTAAGTGTTACTGAATAAGAAATTTGAAAGTATACGTTTCATAAGTTCAAGATGAACATGAGCTAACAGTGGGTAAATACAACCCTCTATCCTTGAGAGGAACTTTTGAGGGTAAACAGTGTAAAGGCACCACACCCAGGGAAAATTCTCTTCTTTTTATAACTGTTTCTACCCAAATAATACTGATTTTTCTCATTCCAGCTCCCAGGTTGATACTTCAGTCTGACAGGATATTGCTGTTGAAGGCTGTCAGCCTCATGTCTCCTTTCCAGGGAGCATAAATCATGTTTATTCACCTCTTTTATATTGCTGCTTTTATAAATAGGTATTCATGTACACTCTGCTTTCAAAAAGTAATCCTGGTAGCAAAAAGGAGAGCAGAAAAGTTTGGTTTGGCTGACTAGATTTAAGAATTCATGTAATTGTGACTTTACTAGCAATATACATTTCAAGTTTCAAAAACGTATCTTCAAGATACTTTTTTTTTACTCTGTCTCAGTACATCTTTCTTATAATTTGCTGTGTTTTGCCTTTCAGTATTCTATCTGCTTCTGAATAATCAGCCCATATGGGATATTTTTAAATAGGCACAACTTAGATCTGAGAATCGAAATGTGGAATCTCAAGATTGAAGGTACCATTAAAGGTCATTCTGTCCCGTTCCCCTTTCGGTATGCTTGAGTTTCCTCCACCACAGCTTCAGGTATAGCAAATATATTACCCTTCTTGTAAGCCCATTTTTTTATTTAAACAACAGCTCAGTTAGAAAATGATACTGAATTTAGATCTGTTTTTCTATAGTCTCTGTCTCCATGGTGCTTGATCAGTCTGCCTGAGTCCTCCGGTATACCATGAAGTATTTGACCACATTTGCCACATTTTGGTCAGTGTGTAAAGCTGGTATTTGCCATAGTTGAGGACGGCACATGCTATTGCAACAATGATTGTTAAATACCAAGCTGAGCACAAACAGGCTTCATGACATGGTGTACGTGAGTGTGGGGTGTGTACAAAAGACTGTCTCTTCCCTAAATTCTCATCCCTTGGTTAAATATCTTCACTTCCTTTAATTGTCATCGTGTTGGATGGTTTGAAGTTCTTGGGGTCTTTCTCCTTTGAATGTGTTCAGGTTTGCTTAATATCCTTTTAAAGTGTGGTATCCAGAATTAAACCAGACTGGCATACAGCTGGAGCAGAGTAGATCGTTAGCGCTCTTACGGATTTATTCTCTTTCAGTTCTGGAAATCAGAAGTATGAAATGGGCCTCACCAGGCTAAAATAAAAATGTTGGCAGAGCTGCATTCCTTTTTGAACACTCTAGAGTCAAATCTTATTTCTTTGCCTTTTAAGGTTATTTGATTAGCAACCTTAATCCGTCATTAACTTCAGTTCCCCCTTGCTACGTAGAACAGAACATTCTCAGGTTCGGGGATTACAACACAGCATCTTTGGGAAACCATTATTCTGCTTAACATAGTCACTAAGATAAATACTCAGCTTTTGCAACTCAGACTTAACCTAAAGTTTTAACCTGAAGTTTTTTATAATCCAGAATATTAGTATTTTGCCACATTTCTTTCAGATTGCATGGGTATAACTTTTTATTGAAGTATATAATATACAGTACAAAAAGGGCTTGTATCATAATTGTATGTAGCTCAGTGAGTTTTTCCAAATCGAGCATGTTTATGTAACTTGCACTCTCATCAAGAAATAGAATATTATCAGCACCCCAAAGCCTCCCTCATTGTCCTTTCAAGTCACTGCACCTCCCCTCCCAAGTATAAGCAGTGTTGTAAAGCTTATTTTAGTTTGATTTTTCTGTTTTATGTAAACAGCATCATACACACATATATATTTTTTGTTTCTGTCTTGTTCAACATTGTTTGTGATAGTCATTCAGGTTGTATGCAGTTGTAGGTCATTTATTCTGGTTGCTGTATAGTATTCCATTATGTGAATGTACCTCTGTGTATTTATCTGTTCTACTATTGATGGGATTTGGGGTAGTTTTCAGTCCTGATATATGTTTAAAGTTGGTAAATAAGATTTTGTCTGAGTCATTCAGTGAGAAAGCGGTAGAGCTAATGGTATCTCTTGTTTTAAGTAGATGACCCAGCCTGATCCAGAGAAAAGCAGTGACTACCACATTTCTTCCCCACCTTCATCAGTGTTATGAAAGGGGAAAATTATTTTAAGTGGAAATCTCTGAATTTAACGTAAAATAGATTGTGTGATTGCTTCATTTATTGTTCTTGAGATTGTGATATTAATCAGATTCATAGGTATAATTACTAATTAGAAAAACTGGTATTTATTCAGATGATAATTTGATTCTAATAGTATTTTATAACTTCATTATTTGTTTTCAGTGAATTTCATTACTCAGTGAATTCTACATTTTAAAAAGATGATTTTGAAAGGAAAAAAATATGAATGTTTGATTCAGTTAAATTCACTAAACTCCAAATGGAGAGGGGTGTGTGTGTTTGTGTTTGGGGAGAGAGGAGGGAGAGAGAAGGAGAGAGAGAGAAAGAAGAAGCTTCTGTCACAAAAACAAACAAAAATTAAGAAAAATATACCATAACTTTCTTTTTTCTTTTTACCTATTGTTTGGAGAAAGATCATTAAAAGATACGCCTCACATACTGGCTACACAGTAGCATTTCCCCCTCTCCACCCTTTAAAAGAACCTGAGAATGTTAAAACAGAGGTTGAGTTGTAACACATTTTCAGTATCTGGAGTCTTTCAGACTCAGACCTGTGTGCTCTCATTCATTCTGTTGGCTTTAAGTACCATCTTTAAGTGGACATCTTCCAAATATGATCTCTCACCCTTGCCTCTTTCTTCCTACTGTGTCCAGCTTCCTTCATGGTGGGTCTTCTGGCATGTCCTGTCAGCTCTATTTTTGAAAAACGTCTTGAATCCATGTCCCCTTAGTTTCCACTGCTACCAGTCTACTCTATGCCGTGCTTTTCTCTGACATGGGCTTCCAAAATAGTCTTCTAGTTGTTTTTCCTGCTTCTTCTCTTAACCCCTTCATAACATATTATTGAGAGAGTAACTAAAAGTAGTCTTATTAGAATATAAGACCATGGTAATACTGTTGCTTAAAATCCTGCAGGGTTTATCCATGTGTTTAGAATAAAATTTAAGCCCCATCCTATTGTTGAAAAGCTTACGTGATCCAGCCCCTGTTCACCTCTTTGACCCAGACACATTAAGCTTGTTCCTGTACTTCTAGCTTTTGTACATGCCCTCTGCCTAAACTCCTCTCTCTTCTAAACTCCTCTCCATGTCACCAGGGCTAGCTTCTCATTTGCTCTTCCTCGAAGAAGTCTTCCACACCCACCGCTGCCCCGCATCTAATGTGTCATTTCTTCTCCCCTGCCTCCCTCCACAGCCACTCAAACACAGCGTCTTGTTTTGTTCTCTTCAGAGTGTTTTGCCCCTGTTGAAATTGTCTTTTAAAAAACGTTTGAACTGTCTGATGCCTCAAGCTCTGTGAGAATCAGAACTCTGTGGGCCTTCTTCACTATGGTACACCTGGCATTTTAGGGCAGTGCTTGCACATTTGTGGAATGAACAAAAAACGGAAAGTTGCCTAAGCTACTGACTCTTGATAATGAAAAGAGGTTCTCTGTCAGAATCTTCTGTTTCCTCTAAACCTTTTACAAATCAGCGCTCTCAAAAAAAAAAAAAGCTTTCGTAATTTTAAGCATTTACATTTTTTAGTATTGACCAGAGCTGACTGTATGTCATTGTCATTAAATAAGTGTTAGCTTCACTACTGTACATTTCAGAGTGTTTTAAGAGTGGGTATTTGTTTGGTACCTCTGGGGTATACACCAACTTTTTAGGTGCTATAGCCATCACCTGAAGGATCTTGTATTTTCTGTTGGACCCTTCAGTGAGATGCTAATGCCATCCTTATATTGAATAAATATTGTCTTTTAGATTTACAGCTACTAACGACTCCATTAGTTCCAATATCTCCTTTTTCTTGTGTATCCTCTCAGCTGAACTTTACCTTATTAGGAGAAATTGCTTTTAAATAATAAGAATCAAAGTTAATTCTGTTTAGAATTTGTATAGCATATTGCAAAACATGTAGCTATCTTTGACTTCATATTTTTAAGGAGACTACATGAAAAGTATAGCAGCATCTTATTTTTATTTTTGTTGGCTTTAGCCACCAGATTTATTTTTCGTATGTTAGGGATAGGGAAGCTGGGATCATGAGTAATGCTGATGATTAAAGGCTGCACTGTGTTTTGATTAAAGAAAAAGAAAAATCTAGCTTCTGGTGTAGGCCTCTGGCATGGAAAGAGTATGGAAGATGAATATTTGCTAATAACAGCACTCTACCAAATAAGTGTCAGCTCCAATTTTATTTTCCTTTTGCTAGGAAAACTGTGACCTCCTTTGAGTACTGGTGAGTGAGACGTTTTGCAACAGTGCCGAATATAAAAGGCCTGCTCTCTGGCAGGCTGATGCCAGACGTTGGGAGCCTTTACAGAACTTGCCAAGCCACACTGAGTGTCAGCTGCTAGTCTGAAATAGAGCAGTGTAAAAAGTTAGGTATTTTTTTCCTGCTTTGTTTATTGTAGACATTGTCTTTTAAAGGTATAACTAGAACCATTACTGTGAGTAGAGACATAAAATAATTTTATGATGCTGTACTGTTTACTTTATATTAGTTCCCATTAACATTGTTAACACTATCAGTTCCTTAAACAGAATTGGGGTTTGAGTGAGATAGAAAATCTCAGCATGGGTCCTTCCCTCTTTTTCCTGCCTCATCTCTTTCTAGAAGTATTTAAGGTAGTTTGCATACAATAAATACAGTGAGGCAGGGAGAGATAATAAGGGTTGATATTCATACATGATGAAAAGTGCAGTGATGGAATATGGAGAAGTAACACTCTGTGAAAGTCAAAAAGGCTGCATAGTTAGCACCTGTTTGTCAACAGGTGTTCCTTTTCTGCTTCTGTGTGTTGTTGTTGTCGTTTGGCCACACAGGTAAAGTCATACTTGGCTGTCGTTCACCTGATGAATGAAAGCAGATGAATTCCCATCTGCTTTAAGCTTCTTGGAGGGGGGGGTCATTTCCCCCGCTGTGAGCTGTGTGTGGGAACTTAGGCAGATGTCAGAGGTCTGTCCCTGGGTTTCTTTGAAGCTGGCAAGAACTCTGCCAGGTCTGCACTCAGGTTCCTCGGCCAGCAGCAGGATCTGTTCCAGTGAGTGGGTGTTTGTGTAAAGTATACTGAAACATTCACTGATTTTAAGATGTACTATACAAATGTATTTTGAAATCTGGAATGATAACACAGCATTTCAGTTTATCAATAAGGAACAATGGAGAAAAGCTAGTTTATGTAGTTTGTGTTGTCAGGCATATATATAAAGTCTTAGCTATTTTAGTGTCAGTTGATCCTTTTTTGTTCTTAGTAGTATATAATGCCTAATTAATATTTAATGAGAAAATGGTAGAAAATTTGTGTGGTTCCCTATACCTTTCATTAATCTATCCTCCCTGCTCCTTCCCTCAACTTTGTTACTGTCTTTTAAAGTAAGCAAAAAATGGATTAAAGGTTTTGTTTTATATTTAAATTCAAAAAAGAATCCAAGCATGTCTTAAAGTGAGTAATAAAAGTACTTTTGTGGTGATGAGTTACCTAATATAAATGTCACTTTAATCTGTAGTCTCTGCAGGCACACTCCCATTGAATTTTCAAAGGGCTGCCCAGAGAATGACTAGATAATCTGGCCTAGTTTAGTAACCTCAAGAGAGATTTTAATAAAAAGACTTTCATAAGCCTCCTCAAATTTTGTGTATAGCTGCTGCTTATTTTCAAGCACACATCACTGACTAGAGCAGTCTTATGTCTATTTTGGCATCTTGAAAACTATATAGTTTGCACCATCAAGATGGGAATCCTCACACTCTTTAGCCTTTGGATCAAGGACATACTGAGTCAGAACATACCACACTGCCATTTGCTTCTAGTAAGTGAAGTACCCAGGGAGAAACATTAATTCCTTTAGGCCACTAGGGCACTATTTTTGTATTAATGTAAGATGTACTGCTGTTCTGTTACCACTGCAGTGCCAGGAACAGTTACCCTTGTGACTGGGAAGAATTAATGCATTGCCCTATGCCGAATTTATTGCCAGGGAACGACTCAGCTTTGAGGATGGAAGAGTAGAAAGGAGCAGTCATAGAACTTGATAGTTTGATTTCTCTTATATATGTGCATGTGTGTGTATATACTTGTAAGTATATATATATATGTGTATGTGTTGCGTATGTATATATCTATTTATGAAGAAAAATTGTTCACTGAGGCAGTTTTGTATTGTAACAATATAACTGGTAACTTTTTTCTTCAGAGGATGATTATCCATAGAATTGTAATTGTAGTTTAACAGTTATAATGCAAATACTCTCATATTAAAAAAAAATACCATTAGCTTTCCTGGACATTTTCATTCGCTTTGTAATCAGGTTTAACTTCTAATTTAAAGGAAAGATGTATGAAATAGTGAAAGCATCTCAGGATTTTATAAAATAATTTAATCAACTCTTGTTATTTGAATACTATGTCACTCTCTTTTAAAAAGGAGGTGAAAGTTAAGGCTTGTCCAATAAGAGAAAGGTCATTATGCTAGTGAGCGAAAGATCTTAATGTAGTCTTTCTGAAGACTGCCAAAGTAAATGCTGTATTTTTAAGGAAAGAAAATGATAAAGTAACATTAGGAGAATATTCCCAAATGAGGATCTATAGAGTGAGGCAAATTACTTCTGGCAAGAGATTTAGTTAATGACAACTTGGAAATTTTTAAGATAATAAGTTCATAACACAGAAAGCATTTAGATAAAATTATCTAAATGCGTTCTACATTTTGAATCTGTTATCAAAACACTTTTACACCGTGAAAAGAACAGGAGTTTATTAATATTCATAATGCATTTTGAAAGCACATGTACTACTTGCATTCTTGAAAACTCAATGTAAAAAGTAAAAAAAAAAATTCTTAAGATTTAGAATATTATAAGAATAAAATGATCTGGAACACTACTTCCTTCTTTGCATTTTTGCAAGTCTTTTCCCAGCTACACAGATGCAACCTGCACCAACTCATTGTGTTTCTTTCCTAAGTAAACAGTTTGAAAGTTTCCTTTTTTCTATCACTGGAAATTACATACACCTCCTTCTATTAATAATAATTAATCTTCTTCCCACTTGGAAAATACTCATTGTGCACATCAGCTGTTCTTGTTCTCCTCATGATAGAACTTGCTGAAGAAAAGTAGTTCATCCCTTCCGTAACTGTTAAGTGTTGTGTGTCATGCGCTGTGCAAGGACACAGAGGGCAGTGGGACAGATACAGTGGTGGGGGAGACTGTCAGAGTAAATAACTGCAAATTATGACAAAGCCTTATGAGGGAAACAATTTGAGGGATGGCAGCATTGGATACATGAATTAATAGAGCAAAAGATGACATTGGAAAGATAGAATGAGATCAGATTTTTTGGAATATAGTTTAGTTTTTCTTACTGGACCTCTGAGAAGATAAAATTTTAGTCATTTATAACACTTAAGATAGAATATATGATATTTTAGAAGTAATAGGAAAGTGTTCCCCCCATGGTTCATTTCATTCCTTTTATAAACTGATAATTTTTAAAGATTACATAGGGTACAAACCAGTATAAGATATTATAATTATATGATGAGAGCATTTTCTTTTTTTAGATTTAATATTAAAGTACCCAATTTTAACTGAGGATGTCCTACCAGAATTTCTTCATCTTCATATTTCTGTCCCTTTTAAAATCTTTGGGACATTGCTATACATGATTGGTGGGTACCATAGTTCCATTTTAGTATTTTTGTTCCTTTAAAAGTTTTAAAATAGTCTAAGAAACTATAAAATAGTTTCTAAGGCTGATTCTAGTCTAGTTTATTTCCACATGCCTAAGGGTAGCTGAGTGTCTGGTCCAAGATAGATAGGTGTGTTTAGTAAGTACTTGTTAATTAAATGAGTTCTTCTGATAGTATGAGTGCCAAACAAGAGGTAAGTACTCTTGGTAGCAAAGAATAAGGAGATCTCTGTGAAAAGAACTGATATGAGAAGGCTGCATGGAGAAAGTAGCAGTGATGTTGGACTTTGAAAGATGGGAGTTAAGGGGAATGAAGGAGTGGAAAATGTGTGGAGTTACAGGAATGTAGGTGGGATATACAGAGTATTAACCCTTCCAAATTGGCTGTCGTTGAGAGTTTGTCCAATGAAGTAAGATTTCAAATACTACCTTAAAAAAAAAAGTGAGTTGCAGCAGAGTCTAGAAGACCTAGCCTGATATGCAGAGGGGTGTAGATTTTTTGCCTCTGGGCTGTGGGGGACTATGACATGGGATAGATGGAGTAGTATAGATTTTGATTATAAATGTGTTTTAGGAGGACTGATTTGGCCATACTACTTAGAGTAGATAATAGAGTATAAAAGAACAGAATTCCTTAATTGCACTCACTGAAGAGATACCCTGTTGGTGTATATTTCTAGTCCTTATTTATTCTGTGCTAGTCTCCTTTGTAGTTCAGAGAATATAAACTACCTTGAGTCCCAAAGAGAGTCATAACTTATTATACTTCGTAGCTGTCAGTGATATGCTCCAAGCAGTTTCCCTCTATGAGAACCAATAGAGAGAGAGTCAGAACTTCTCAAGACTAGGGAGTCAGTCTCCCCTGTTATATTCTTGGCTGCAGTGTCACACACAGCTTTACTCTTGTGTTCTCCCCGTCTCATAACTCAGAATTCCATGCTTATTTCAGACTCTCCTAATAAAATGCCAGAAAATTTTAGGCAAAGGTACAAAGCATCACAAACTCAAGTAAGTGATTAGTGTGGTATCTACCCACTCCAAACACCATGCAAAGTACTGGAGTCCAAAATGATAGAAAAAACATGATTTTTGTCCTCTAACACAAAAGTTAGATGGACTAGGAGTAAAACTTAGAAACTTTGAAGTGCTTTGACTGAGTTATACACAGAGTAGTTTGGGAGCATTTCTCTTATTCTGGGACTTTAAGGCTGTTTTATTGGAAAAGATGAGTAAGAGTCAGAGGAAGGGTAGGGAAGACTGATGAGGCAGCACAGCATATGTGGTGGTGATAGGAGGCCAGAGGAGTGCCTCTTGCTTACTTCCTCTTTTTGTTTTTCAGGATTGTTTGGTGATGCCATTCCCTCCTTGCACAGGCCTCTTTTCTACTTCCCTTCCTCAAATCAGTCTGCTTAGGGGTTTGTCTTCTTTCAGTGTGCTCAAAGAACAAGATCTGATTTTGTTAGTCCTTCCTAGTCTTTCCCCCTCTACTTTATTAATATGTGCTTTTGTCATTATTTTCATTGAGTTTACTCCTTTTGGGGGGGCACCCCCAACTTTTTTATTTGAATGCTGATCTCATTTATTTTAAGACTTCCTTTTAGGCATATAAGGATATAAATTACTCTGGAAGCACTGTATCACTCAGATTTTGACATGTATTACTTTTGTTGTCATTCAGTTTTAAATATTTTGTGATTTCCATTGTGATTTCCTCTATAACCCATGATTTATTTAGGGAGTGCATGTTTAAGCTTCCAAACAAAGGGATTTTAACCTTTTATTTTTTTAACTGTTTATTTCTAATTAAGTTGTACTGTGATTAGAGAACATGCAGTTTCTGTAATATTAATTCTTTGAAATTTAAGACTTGTGTCCTAGTCCCCAGTCCTGTTTTGTACATCAACCATGTGTCTTTGGAAAGAGAACTGATTATTTCTTGAAACCCTACATGTATACTTAAGTTTGTATACTTTTGTCATTCATGGTTTGGTTTTTGGGTTTTTTTTGTATTCTGAATAATTTGCTTATTCTATTAAACACTTAGGAAAATATGTTAAAATCTTTATCAGTTAAAGACTTGTCAGTTTTTCCTTGCAGTTCTACATATTTTTTCTTTATATATTTCTAAGTTATATTGCATACCATATAACCTGAATGTACATACACATTCAAGATTGTTTAAATGTCTTATTTAATTCCTCTGTTTGTTATTCTGTAATGTTGAACCTAAGTTTTAAAAATATTTTATTTGTTGCTATTCTGTAGCAGCTTTGTTTTTATTTTGATTCACCTGGCGTATCATTTTCTTCCTTTTTGGGGGGGTGTAGTTTAATTTTGTTTGCCTTGTGTAAGCAGTAAATAGGTGGATTTGTTTTGTTTTTTAGCCATTCTGATGATCTTTTATCTTTTTGAAGGCAGAA